TCTCTTGCTGATCACAGAAATAGGAGGGCTACAGAATAGCTAGGAATGAACTGCCACCGTGTGGCTGAGGCACAGTTTTATCTTAATGGCCAGTCTTCGCGAGCGAAGATCCGGGGAAGGTCTTTACACCTTCCAGCCTGCGCATTGGATTTTTTAGGTGAGACACAGTGTGCGCGGAACTGAGCCCACCCTTTAATCCTAAGGTTCATCTGCCGGGGCCAAGCGAGCTTGGACGGTGGCAGCGAGGTCCTCAGGACGTAGGTGGGTTGCCTTTTTAAGGGCTAACGAGCCCCACCTGCCCGGGAGTGGCCCTGACCGGGAATCGAACCCGGGTCTCCGCAGTGATAGCGCGGCGCCTTTACCATTAGACCACCAGGGGCTCCACAGTTTTATCTACCTTTCTAGAAATGTCCTTCAAGAGCTCATGCTCTAAGATAAATTACAGTCCCCAGTACTTACTAGTGAAAGTTTTTTGCTTGATCACACATTTTACTTTGGCATCATGTGCAGTGGTTCCCTATCAGTGCCCATAGGCTTCTTAGCAAGGTCTTGCTCCCTTCTCAATCTCAGTTTAATAAAAAGAGTGGAACATGTCACTTTTAATTCCATAAATTCTTTTTATATTTTCTCTAATAGGTCACCTCATCTTCTGTGAAGGATCAGGGTATCTTAATAACTGAGTCCTTGAGGTGTTGTTGCCTGGTCCTGCCTTATAAAAGGAAGACAATTTTTTAATATGACAAGCCTATTACTAGAAAAGTTGTCAACATTCACTAAATTATTGCTAATCAAATATCAGACTCTAGCTTTTGCTTCTCAGTCTGGTCTAAAGCAGCTGGGCTCATTTTTCTTTTATTTACCCTCAAAATTCTTTCAGTACAACAGGGTTTTCTACCTGTTAAACTCAAGATAGTTCAAGAGGCATTCTACTGTCTTGGTTTCTATTTACCATGGGCATAATTCAGAGCTACAGACCCAAGAGGAGGCAAAAGCCTCCCAACTTCATACTGCTTTCATCTTATTGTGGACCTGCTACACCACAATAAAACAGAAGGAACTCCTAAATTTACCCAAAAGATCTACGAACTGACCCTACAGCTGTGAACATTTTGAAGACACCCACTAGGTGCTAATCTAATATTTTTAACACAGCCCGTTCAACCTGGAGAAGCAGATAACCACATCTATGTTTGCTATGCATTACCTTGGAGGACTTCCTGCATTATTCGATGCAGTGTTGAAACCTCTTGCCTTCCTTCATAACTTTATGACACTGCAAGATTCAAACTAGAGCATACATCTTGTCCAGCTGCCAGCTTTCCATTAGCTGTCTATATTTCTTCTGTTTCTGCCAAAGACACTCATGGTTTCAGCTCACTTACATGCATCATGATTACACTGAGTTGCTCAACACAAAAGGACAAAATTATTTTGAGTCCTCCAGGACATGATTTCTTCAACAACTCTTCTTCACCTCTCTTGCTGGATTTTTGTACACAGTGTCTTTAGTTTCTGAACGACAACTGTGGATGTGGTGTCACAGAAATTCATAGCCAGGGCCCCTTCAGAGCTAGTGCTCAGCAATGACACTATCTAGAGGAACCTGATATACCCCAATTCCTCATCTGACCTGGATTTGAAACAATAAAATAAGAGATGCTTTCCAAAAGATCTTGCCTGTTATTCCACTGTACCCTGGGATAGAGCTGTTGGGGGTCAGTGCTTCAGGGAATACTCGCACACAGTGGCCTTGATCAATAGAGCTCCTAGTTGATGCACTTTGCTATCACAGCCTGGGGACATGACTGAAAGAGCTCACTAGCAATTTCTGAAAAAAGATCTAGGTCATACCCAAGCTCTGCTGGTCATCAATAATTCTTCTGTATGGCTGGCACTGTCAGAACACCTATAGTAGGTGCTTTATTTCTAGGTTGCAATGCCTGAAAATAACTGCATGTTGCAGCAAGGTCATTTAGAGGACCTACCCGTGGCAGAGAGAGCCCCTTTAGAGTCCCATGCAGACAGCTCTGCCTCCAAAGCCATGAGTAAACAATTCAGAGCAGATGAGGAGCAACTCTGTAGGGCAGCCAACTGCTCCTGGACAGTGTGTGGAAAGCTGCCTAGGGTAAGCCGGTGTTAGGCAGGCACATGGTTCTTCCTCAGGTCTTGAGGTAATACAGAGGGTGCTGCCATCCACGCTAAACCCTTCTCTGAGGAGGCAGCTAACATCAGAGGTGGAAATGCTTCCCTTTTCCTCTCTCCTGCTCCCTTTCTGCTTAACTGCCTGTTCTAGCATAGGTAGGATACGACTCTTGAACCCTCAGCTCCTCAGCTCCCACCCTAAGGTGCAGGGGCTGCTCTCCATAGCTCTGCTGGAGCTGAGCCATGTCCAGTGAGGAACATACAGGGCTAATATGCTAGAAGGAGAAGGAAGGTGCCTGCATTTATGGGATATGTGATAGAAAATGTTCTCAGAGAAAAAATGGTTTATTTTACTTGCTTAATTAAAATTTTCTAAGACAATAACTGGCTTGAAGTGACCTTTAAAAAAAATGAAAGAAAATTGACCACAGGATTCAAATTGAAATTACAAATCTGATTTCCTCCATCTGTCTCTTATTCATAAATGCGAACACAAATTTCACACTGGAGCTTGTGTGCTGGACAGCAGGGAGGACCCTCATGCTCTGTCACAGCCAGATGACTAGAGATGCCTCTGTTTTACAGGGACAGACAAGACATCACAGGGAAGGTCAAACATGCTGAAGCAGTCTGGTTCTGCATATCACAATGCATTCTTAAAACGACAGCAAAAGGATCAGCTACTCCAATACATAGAACCTTGGCACTATGAACATGAAACACAGGCCAGGGCAGAACAACATTGGAATCCTTTTTCTTCTTTCTTTTTCATTGGTATTTTAATTATGCACATGCCCAATTCTGTTATAGTAACTCAAAAAAGATGGTGAGGTTTTCTGTCAGCACTCATGGAAGTTGCAGGTTCTAGTAGCAAAAAGATGCCCACACACTCAGTAAAATGTTCCTTGGCAACTTCAGCATGAGATTCTGCTTGGAGAAGGGTTTCAGGGTGACACATTTCCAAAAACTGTACAGATTTGAGTGCTGTCCTCCTTGTCTCACACACAGACAGAGCTGCAGCCTTGAGGCATGCCAGAACCTACAGGTGTGTTTGCAACATGCTGTGCTCTGGCTATCCCACCTAGCTGAGAGGCCTTAAATGATCACACATCAAAAGCAGAACACTTTTAAAGACAGTTACAACATTCAGTTCAGGGCAGCCAGTACAGGACTGGAGAGATACAAAGGCAACAACACAGTATAGAGAATACAGACTATTGTGAGAAGCACCAAGAGAAGGGAGACAAAATTTAGATCTTAATTTAAACTTTTTTTGAATATATATCAATTATGTTGGTTACACTGGTCATTTTCAAGAGGGTACAGACTAAGCAAAGAGCAGCAAAAGCACCTCCAGAATTAATACAGAAACAATTCTTCTCTCCCCTTCACAAATACCACTAGAAAAAGAATCAAAATGCTTTAATCAAACAGGAGATGCCAGCTCTGAATGGAGGACCATATGGTTTTTTTGGCACTTTCCTATCTTATGACAGGAAGTGGCCTGGATCAGCAAGTTCTCAGAGGTACTTGCAGCTCATGGCAGAAATGCTGTCTGAATAACTCACTCCCAAAGACTAGGAACACAAATCAACCAGAATTGCCACCTGCCAAATGTTCTGTGTGGCAGGCACAAGGTTTTTGGAGATTTTGTTGTATCAGATGGGCTACATTGATGGCCAGTGCCTTAGGAAATTCATCCACACCTGTGGACACAAAAACTACTGAACATAGAAACAAGAAACCACTAGTGAATCACCAGCTGGTCGTACCAGTGCTACCACGATCCATCTGTCACAGTCAAGCACCGACTGAACACCAGATGAAAAAAAGAGAGTAAGCAAAGGCTTGATCCCAAACACCTCAGCAAATTCTTAAGACAAAGTATGTGAGGGGGATGTGGCTCAGATTACTGTGAGAGTAGCAATATTGCTGAAGAACCATAGCTAGTGTTTCCATAGGGTGCTATCTCCTCATCCCTTTTCATGCCTTTTTACATTGCTGTACATCAGTCAAATAGGCAGAGTATGGGTCTTAATAATTCCAAGAATCACATGAAAGACATATCACCTCCAAGATGAAGAGGAACACTTCCAGACTGCATTTTTCCTAATACATAGTCTTTCATGATGAAGCAGTAGAATTACAAATATTGGGTATAATCTAAAGCTGATGTGGTGGCTTTGTCTGCAAATTGTCTTCTGCCCTTGAGAGCAACCTTGACTCCAGTTTATTCACAAACCATTTTTCTCTGAGACATTAAGCTTTTCTAGGGTACACTGGAATGTCTAGATTCGGCAGTAGGGTGTTAAAATAGATGAAAAGTAGCAGGTGGTGTAACCATATGAAAAACGTTGTATATATTTTTGAATGCAGTGAATCCTTTGATGTATCCAAGAACAGAACCATTTCCAATAGCAAATAGAGTACAATATAGCTTGTTTTTTTCAAAACACACAGCAGCAATTCCTCCAAACACAAGTTTCTAATTCTGATTACTTCACTGAAGCTCTTTTCTGCTTGTACCACAGTCTGATTGTATCTCTGTGCTGCTTTATATTCTCAGATCACAGAGTCAATAATGGCACATACAAATTTTCACAAGCAACAGGAGAACATTCTGCTTCACTGCTCTGAAGTTGGAAGCACTGGTGCAAAAGTTCCAATATAATCACTGAATTCCTTGAACTGCTTTGCAGTACTAGAGTCAGAAGAAAAATTACTGCAACGGGCAATCTGAACCAATGCTTTCAATAACAGCACTAAAAAAAAAGTCTTGTCAAGCTGGAGTTTCCTCCCCAGGCTGAGTGACAAAGCAGTATTGTTAGGCACAATGAACTTGATAAGTGAAACCCTCATATGAGTCCAAAGTTGGAATAGCCATGGTTTAAAATATGTCCCACACAAAGAATCTTCAGTGACTGCATACGTCACTTCTACAATGTAAGGGATGGATCAGTAGGGGGAAAAAAAGGCAAATATCACATGCCCTATTTCATAGATTCTGTTTTCAAGTGAAGAGGGAATAATCTTTCAACATTCCTTCTTACGTGTTTTAGGCTTAAATTTTAAAGTGCTATATGCCCCTTCCACAGCTTTGGGCAAGTACATGGGATGTCTTTCCAACCTCTTCCTAGAGCCAGTGGTTCTCCGCTGGCTATTTCTTTGAGATTGGTTTGCAGCCTTTGCAGTTTGGGCAGTATCTTGTGAGTACCTCCGCGGAGCACGAAGGATCCAATTTGAATGCAAACTGTGTTCACTTGTACTGGTAGCAACTGAAAAACAGAAGATAATCCGGCATTAACAGTTTGACAGTGAAATTTTTATATGCACAGTGAGAGACTAGGGTGCTTTCTGGGTCTTTCCTGGAGGTAATGAAATGAAACCAACTTTGTTTCACTGCAGGATATCTCTTGAGATGGGATTCATCCTATCTAGTATTTCACTGCCTGCAGCATAAAGATGCATGTGAGAGCTAGTCCCTACACACACACCTAGTGCACAGCTAAGCCAACCTGTTTCAGATACTCCCCTTAGCCTGAAACAAAGGTGAGAAATATCTATTTCTCTCCACTGATTATACAGGATAGATGATGACCTCAGATGGGCACATCTTTGTTTATTTGGGCAATCCTATCCCTTCTGTTGGACACGTACAGTTATTTAGCCTAATCTCTAAATTATCTCCATTTTGATTGTTGGAAAGTAAACATCCAGCCGTTTCTCAATGAGAAAAAAAGAAAAACAGATGAAGAAAAAAATATACTTTTTATAGTTCTCCTTCAAAGACAGCTTGAGGTAGACATGCATGGGTGGAATTCAGCCCCAAGCAGAAGGCAAACACTATTCCAGCACTATGTATGCTACATTTGCTCATGTAATGACTGCACGTAAGGTAGTTGCACCCATTCAACAGCGAGCAATCAATGTATTACTGCAGTTTCACATACTGCATGGAATGGTCCTACATTTGGGAAGAAAAGCTGGAGGACGTTTGTGTCCATTAAATAAACAAGATTGCACAATGCCACTCTTCCCTCTACCCTCTGCACACCAAACCCCATAATTTTTGTCCGGTTTGTAACTCACCATCAAAATCAACATCCACATTTGGCAAATCCACGTCAGGAACACTCATCCATCTCTCTGAATCCAGGTCTGCAATGACCGAGTCAAAGAAAGCTATTGCTTCTCTTACATCTGAACTGGACCGTGGGCCTTTTCTCTCCACGGATGCCTGTTGATCAGATAAAGGGTAAAAAAGTTAGCTAACAGTTGGGCACAATGACTTTTTAATGACCAAATTGTATAAGGAAGATGCAAATATGTTATTTAGTTCCATATTCCAGACTGTCAGAAAAAGAAAAAAAAAACACAGGTCCAGACTACTCCACAGTTTGTAGCCATCAAAAAAGCAGGTCAGCAGTCTAACAAACATCCATCTTATTACATGCTCAACACCAAACATTTCCCCCTTGAGCACTGCTAGCCCTGTGTTATAAAATCCCTCAGAATCCATGTATCAGGCCATTTAATTGGGTGACTAAGTGACAGCTGGGCTTTGTGGTGAAATTTATTCTGCCTAGCACTAGGCACCTAATGAGACACACATTAGAAATGTAGTCATGCAGGGTTCCTTCTGTAATTAATGCAGTGCTCCAGTACCTTCAGAAGATGAGTCAGGCCTTAAGTAGGCTGAACCCTCCTCTGCAGGCAGCTCTTTCTCTTCGCTGAAAAGGAATTGTGGGGTAACTTGGTTACTAATTTAAGCATCTTATTAAAATGCCTAGGTTAGGTAAAATTAATCCAGATTTAAATTGCTAAAGTCTTTTTGAAATGGAAAAAGGTGGTGTGCGCTAAAATATGAGTCATTCAACACTGTGATAATTCCCACAGGAAAGCCACAGGGTTTAAAATTAGGAACCTGTCTTGATAAAAAAGCAAATGTAGTCTGTAAATGCTGAAGCAGTCATAAAACCTTGGCTAGCAATTCTGAAGATTCATATGGGATGAAAAATTCCTCCCAGGCTCTACCTAACAAAAGGACGTATATTTTCCTTGCCATTCCAAGTTAGGTGCATTGTCAGGCTGCAGTACTAGGTCAGAAAATTGCTACCTTGGGATTCAAACATGCAAGCAAGGGATACATATATGTCACATCTCTGAAGGACCAGCCTGTTCCCTATTCTGTGGAGGCAGAGAGATGAACTGATTACCCTCCTGACATTATGGGTTGATTGACATCCTCTGAAGTGCTAAAAGATAGGTGTTACCACACATCTACTGAAAATAGTGAGTGCTATTATGACTAAGCCCTTATTGGTTAAATGACATTTTAAAGAAATGCCTATGTGCTTCCAGCATCTGACCCATCTCTCTATTCTTTTCTCTCACTAGACCCAGGTGGCACATTTTGAATCCATGGTCAGCCTTGTGGTTTAGGTCACAGGGATCTTTGGATTAAACTTCCCATGAGGACAGGGTTGTCTGAACAAATTACCCTCCCATAAATCATGCAGTAGGTTAAAGAAAGAAGTGGATTTCCAGTGACAGGTAATTTAACACAAACAGGTAATTTGGGACAAAACCATTTAAGCCTGGTCATAAGACAAACCTTACAATCTGTGAACATAAAATTTGTAGTTAGAAAGCAGAATACTCTGAATTTTTTAGAAGTCTTCTTGACTGCAACCCTGCCATTTGTGTTGGCAAGAATGACTCATATGAATGGCATATCCTGCTGATGTCCCTGTCTGTTCCCAAGGGGATGGTTCATGGAGTTAGCATGCCAGTCAGTACCAGCACGGTTCATACATAAGAGCTAGCTGGCTACAGTCAGGTAACTCTTAGCCTCAGACTGTGGGAGATTCACTTGTTTGCCAAAATCAAGTTAAACTTTTGGCATTTTTCTTAAGCAGCATTTTCAGCAGCAAATCTCAGAAATTCACAAACCTGCTTGAAGTTTGGTTGTGCAGAATCTAACTCCCAGCCTCCTGGTCCCTGGTTTCAGTCCAGGGTTAGTCATGTACTAGTCTGCTACATCACTGCTCAGCTCTTCAGGGAATTGGCATGCTGTAAATCTCCCCTGCCTCGAGCCAGTGACAGTGCACACAGTCGACAGACTGGATCAACAGTGCTGAGATTGATTTGTCTCCTGGCACCTGGCACCACCAGGCCACTCTCCTAGCTTTCAGTCATTCCCTATGGATATTTCCCTGGCCTGAAATTACAACTTCTGTATAAAAACTGTCTTCTCCATCCCACTGAGCTGAGTTTAGTTTCCTATTATTATTCCTAGCATCTGAGAGTTACCATTCAAAGTATTAAAAAGATGACATAAAACCTAACAAAGCCAAACGTGACCAAACGGATAGCAGAACAAAACATAAAATTAAAAAATGTTCTACCTAATTCTAAACTCATGAGTGTTGTCCTTTTGTTAAGCAATGCCTGCAACAGCTTAACAAATAACTTCAGCCATTCTGACATTCTGCTGTGACAGAACATCTAAGCCTGAAGTCAGCCTGGCCCAATCATTAAGTTCCACCATCCCCATTATTACCCAGTTTAAAGATTGGACTGGGTAACCTCTGAGTGTGCTGTCAAAGTCTTGCTTGTGGTCCTGTTACCTAACAGGTCATTCCACTTGCTTCAGTCCTTTGCTTCGTCCTTGCTGAATCGAGTGTAAAGTCAAAGTAACCAACAAACTATCTAGTGGCATACAACCTATAAAATGCAACCAGGAAGAAGCTTTTCTTTCTAGGATACATGTAAATAATCTGCACCAAAGATGATATTCCAGTTTTATTTTTATGGTGTCATTACAGTAAAGGGTGAAGAAACACACTGACTAGAAATGACTCACCAACGTATTAATGAACAGAGAAAGGACCGCTTAGGAGTTCTTCATGCCTTACAGCCTACCAGTAGAGTTTGCACTGATGCTAAATGTAGCACTAACCAGCTAACTGACCAATCAGAAAAAAAATGTTATTTGTTTCCATGAATTTACAATTATTTTGTGCAAGTAATTTTATGTCAATAAAAAGACTGCCAGGAAATCTAGGGCTTACTGCACTTGTCAGTCATTATAAGCTATAAATAATCATAGGGGAGAACTCTGATGCCCTTAAGTAGCCTGTCAGATCTTGCTTCTTCGTAACACATTTTCAGATACTTTCCATGCTCTCATAACCCTTTCTTTTTCCTATTTTCACTCTCCTGACCCTTACCCTCCCTCCTCCCAAACACAGGCATATGCATTTCTTTCCATGACCAATTTTCTTTCTTAGTTTCACACTACTCGGAAAGAATCTTAAAGTATATGGCAACATTTCAAATGCAAAAGTGAAAAAACAACTGGTTGAAACCAATAAAGCAGAAAATCAACATAGGTCATACAGCTTCAGTGACTTCGTGGCTTAAGACCAAGCACATGGCAAAAGTTCTTGCAAATTACCTTAGAAGACTCTTTGGAAGGAAGTGGAATAAATGACTTCTTTCCAGTTTTGGATGATTTTGAGGACATTGGAGAAGCTGCAGACATATGCATGGATTTCAAGTTATTGATGTTGTCAAGATATTTTTTCCTCAAGGCTAACAAATCCTGTAGGTACTTCAAGCAGTCCTGAGTCTTAGAGTACATCCAGTCTCTGTCTTCCTCTTTTGGCTGAAAACAAGAGTCGATGCTGGTTGTACTTCTACATTTCTTTAGTGGTTCACTAACTTTTTCCTGCTCACCTCCAAGGACATACATAGAAGTGCTGCGGATCAGTCTCACTGCAGAACCTGTGCCATCACAGTAAGGGATGTTGTCTGCCACATTTCTTCTGTGAAAGTTGGGGTGAAAGATAGAATGGATCTTTTTGAACATAGTGTCTCACTTCCTCCTCTTAATATGCTTTCGCTTTCAGATCCTTAATTTAACACTAGGTTTGGTAATCAGCAGCTGTTATTTTGCCCTCAGCAGATAAAAAAAATTGCCACTTACTGAAGTGAGGAGAAAAAACAAGCCTATGGCTGCACCTATTGCTTTCAGTCTAATACATTGTGAAGAGCACGATAGTAATGCAGAAGTGTTTCTTCCTATTCCATTTGTGTCAGTGAAAGAGCTTTGTTCTTTCCTCGTTTTAAAATGTAGTTGAGGAGGTCAAATATCATGCTTTGACCTTTCGTTTGGCGTCTGGTCCCCATAAAAACCATCAGCATGGAGGCAGAAATTCCCTCTTCCGCGCTTCCTCGGCGCTCCTGGGTCCCCCTCGGCGCCTGCCGCTGCCGGCCGGGGGGCGCCGGGCTCTGGCCGTGGTGCTGATCCGCTCCCGCCCGCCGCCCAGCATCCGTCCGCCTCCCGAGGCGCGGCCCGGCGGGATGTTGGGTTCGGAAGAGCTTGCTGAGATCAGCCCCGACGGGGACAGAAGTCTGAGCGGGGAAGAATAGTTTCTGTCGAGTGGAGTTCAGCTGCTGAAAGAAGTCGCTCTGGGTTTCACCCGGCAGTAATCAGGAGATGGCTACAGATACCTGATACCACGGCACTACTAGGAACAAAGTGGATTCAGATGTCAGGGTCTATTACACACAATACAGAGATGCCCTGTGCAAGGGATTCTGTAAAATAAAACACTCTTCCAAAGTACTTCTCTGGCAAAATATTGCAGACAGAAACTTAAGAATTTGTACCTTTCCATATCAGTCCTCCTCCTAGACTGATTGAAGAACATTCAATACAGTGGTTTTGATGACTGTTCTTTGGCCGAAAGTACTGAGAAAATTGGCTATTATTGGTGTATTTGAGCACTGCTAGTATTTGTGACTTCAGGACCACATTACATATGCTTTAGAGTTAAGCAGACAGTGATTTTGTTCAGTTGTCATGACTAAGACAATCAACAATTATTGAAAAGCAAGCAGGAATACCCAGAATTACCATGTTCAAAAGAGTTTTCATAAATGACCCTGCCCAAGCATTGAGTGCTTGAGAAAAATAATTATTTTGAAATCACACTGATATCACCCTGCAAATCCTACTGAGCAAATTTCTGTTGAGGCCTCTGGAAGTGCCAACTGAAGGCTTAAGCATTCTAAGATCTGTGGGATCTCAACAAAAAAAAGTAGGTTCTAATATAAATTTGTGCTTATTACCTCAGGGACTTTGAAATACTGGACACTAAACATACACCACAACCACCTTAAAACAGGCACTTTGTTCCTTTTACTTACAGGTAAAGTTGAAATGTCCTTATAATATAACTACAAATTGAGGCAAACTAACTATTTGCCACTTTTTTTGTCTTCTAATATTTGCAGCTGAAAGTAGCCTAGAGGTTGTTCTGAAATACATTCAGCTGCTTGGTATCTAGTACTTTTATAGGGGTATTCCCTTATTGATTTTCTACAAAGGTCTACTCAATCCCACAGCTAGGTAATAGATGAAGTTGTCTTTATGGTAGCATAGACCTGTAGAACTATGAAAAATTATGAGCTCTCTCCCCAGAATTGTCTGGCTAAGATGGAAAAGATTCTGATCATCAATGCTAGCATAAAACAATAATTATTATTCCATCTACATATTGCTTTCATTTTCAGAGCAAAAGTCTTCAAGGGGATATTACTGTACTGTCCTGAGTGCGTAAGGTAAATATCTGGCATAGTCATTCTAGACAATTTGTTTGCTATCTAAGTTAGGAAAATGAGATTGTTCCACAACAACTGTAATAAAAATGTACTTAGATTTGCTACACGGGATACTGGTCTTTGTTTACTGACATGATACAATACCAGGGAGCCTCAGAGAGGCACTGTAAGTGACCTCATAGTCAGAAAACCTGTAATTCAAGCAAATCGATGGGAGCTTCAGAAGCTATTGATAAAGGTTTGAGTCAATAAGGTCAATGGGAACTCCACTCAGAAACTTCTAATAGAATCAGACATTGCTTTGCAATAGCAGATTGATTTATAAGCTCGTCTGGACTTACAAAGAGCTACAGGGTAAAGAAAAAAACAGAACTAACCAACCAAACAAACAAACCCCAAGGTTTGGTTGATAAAACTACAGAAAAAGATACATTTGTGAAGATTAAGTCTGATTGTATACACTGAGATTTGAAAAATCAGCCATAGATTTTCCTACCCTGCTTCAGCTGAATGCTTAAAACATATGCTGACGTCTCACTAATTAAAAAAAAAAAAAAAAATCTTTCAGGCTCTAAAGAAAGTTCTCAATTTCAAACATGTTCATGCTCAATTTTTTAAAAAGCTTGCTGGGCCACATTCATTCTGTGCCAACATATGTGTCATTCCCATTGTTGATGGTGGTGTTAGAATAAGAAACTATTAATAAGTGCATGCGGCAATACAGTAATTGCATTATATACTCTAATTTCATTTGAAGTAATAAAGGGTCATTTACAATTATTTCAGACGTGAATATTTTATTCTATGGTTTGGTTATGGGCAGTGAGACCATATTCGTCTCCTATTGTAAAAATTAATAATAATTTGTTTTCTTCAGAGAATCTACTATAATTTAAATAGCTCCCTAAATTTAGAAAGGTAAAGGAAAAAATAATGGATATACTCTACTGCGTTTTGCAAGAAGAGGAATGCCCTACATCTTTTTAAGATATTTTCCTATAAAGCATTAGCATTAAAACGTTTCCTGAGTAATGCTTGATTTATTTATAATCAAACTCTGGTCCCCATGTACCTGTAAGTGTCCCTATTTAAGTAAATAACAGGGCAATTGTAATTCAGCCACCACCACAGATCCCCAGTGTTGCTGCTGTGGACTGAATATGCTACTGTTATCTAAGACGGCTGGTAATTAAGAAAGAAGATCTTATTCAAGAATTATTTCCTTCTTCACAGACACTCATCAAATGGTAAATCTGGTTGAAGAATAAAATATAGTCTGTTTATTCAAAGTTCCAAATTCATGGACAGTTATTAAATCATAAATAAAGACCTCCCAAAGAAGGAGCTTGTTAGAAGCAGATCAAATAGACCACACTAATCAAATAGACAAAATTAAATATTTAATGGCATCTAAGATTACTAACTTTGACACGACAATGCTCACACCTTGCTTGTTCCTTTGGCTACTTGAATCTGACTTCATTTACTCAATATTTTTAATTTAAACACACTTTTTTTCTCTCTCATTACTGCTTTCAATGTTTCTGTTTACTTTGTAGCTAGAAGAGTGATCTAAATTCCATGGACCAACATCCAATCAGTCCCCAAACTGCTTTTGTTACTTAGCCCTGGCATTCTGTCAACTCCTAAGCCATCGGGACTGGAAAGGAAAATCAAGTTAGAAAATCCAATGTATGTCTTTTGTTTAACTAAATTTACAGTTGAACAAAACCCCTTGAAATCAAATTTGTAGATTAATATACTTATTTAAGCTTTTTTAACAGTAATGTATTCATCAAAATGCATTGTAATCTCCAGAATAACATGACAACATACATACAATCTGTCTACTTGATACTTTCATTTCACCCAAGTGACAAGATACAGAGGAATGTCAAATCATCCTTGAAACAAAATAAGGTTTTGGTGTCAAAGAAGAAAACCTTTGACAAACTGTAGATGACAAGGTATTCTTTCTCTATCATAAAGCTACTGTATCATATAATTTAGGATAATACATTTTATCATATTTAAAAATTAAAAAGAAAACACTTTCTTTGCTTTTAAAGGAAAAAAAGAGATCCACACAGGAGATATGTGAGTAGATAGTAAAGTTATTGAGACTTGTGTTATTTTAGATAATTCAGAAAGTAGAGAGCAGTTTTCAGTCTCTTCTGAACTATGCTATGTCTATATAGCTGCACAAAAAGTAGATTGTTTGGAGAGAGTTAAGTGAGAGAGTCCAAAACAGAGGAAAACAGAGCAAACGATTTATCACAGCAGGCATCAACGCTTTGTTCCCTAGACCCTTACTATTTCATATATTCTCTTGAAATTATGCAAAGACACACAGACACACAAATCTACACGATCTTTTAAATATTTAAGAGAAAATCAACAAATGCAGGAATGTGGAGACCATAGCTCAGTACTAAAAAAAAAGCAAAAACAAACAAAAAAAAAAAAACAAAAACAGAAACACAAAAAAAAACACAAAAAACAAAGCAAAACAAACAAACAAAAAAACACCAAAAAACCAAAACAAAACAACAATAACAAAAAAAAAAAACCACCAGCATCCCAAGGTTTTATACCTGTATATGGTAGTTGTCATGACACTTAAAGTTTCAAAGATCACATACTTGAAAATATGATATGGTGGTGCATTCCCAAATCCTACATTAGGTGTTAAATGTCAGTGCTTTCGGAGGGTGGCAAGAAACATCCACTATCAGAGGTGCAATATCACAAGTTCCTACCTTTCATTAACTAAAAGGAAAGATGGAAGAAAAACAGACCTTGTTATAAAGCAAAGAAGAATCCTCAAGAATGGTTGTTTTTTCTCTTTCAGCCTGTGAAGGTAACAGACTGGAGGAGTTCGGCCTCCCCAAAACTGCAATCAACAACTGTTTGATATTCTTACTCTTTCAAGAAGTTCTCAGATTATGGGAAAGGAGACCAATTTTAATACCATGTGTTTGAAATATCTATGATTGCTTTTCTGACCATCAAACTGGAGAAATCATTTTCTCGAGAATAAGATTATTGTTTGAGCTGATTTGGATGTAAATGCAATGAAATCTCTGTGTTGCCCATGTCAGATTTAATGTTGATCTTGTTTTTTAAGAGTACATGCTTGAGCCGTCTCAGACAACACCGATGTGTAAAACCAGCTGAGTCAGAACACTGAGTCTCCTATAAGAGGATAAATACAATTTTTTGTAAATCTGGAACATCATCTTT